TACGTTTTGAAAACAAAAATATTCGTATCACATAAATACCTGTGCGAACATACGGATAAGACATATGTGTTGTACAGATGTACATGTAACACATTAGTATCGTACGAACGTACAGGTAACACACCAGTACCGTGTGAACGTACGGATAAATCATAATTCGTGCGAACCCACGAGTTACTACATGTTTTGTCAATTAAAGAAAATAAAACTAATGTATGAATTCAACAACGAGAAAAATGAATAATTTTTAAATTTTTTATGTTTTTAATATTTTTATTTTGAAATTATTTTTCATTATAGAAAATTAAAATATATGTTATTGACGTAAAACAATTTTGGTAAAACAATTTTGATTTTATTTTAAAAATATGTCTTTCTTATAGAAATAATAAATTACTTTGCTAAAATTATTTTATTTTTCTTATATACACTTTTATTATATTTTAAAAATAAAAGCGTGCGTACGACACCAGTACTTATGCAAACACACAGATAATACATCAGTACTGTGTGAACGCACAAGTAACTAGTATTGAGAAATATATTTTATTTTTATCTATTTTACACAAATATTTTTTCTGAATGCGTGCTTAATATTTTTTCCTAACGATAATTGATTTAATTAATTTATATATTTATCATTAACTATTTTTTTTTCTTTTTTTACAATTTTATTTAAATATAAATTATTTTATTTAAATTTCAAAACCAAACTGGTGACATATCTGCAGTCCACACCAGAACCTGTACGGACGCACAGGTTTTCCACTAGTTTACATAAAGATGTTTGTGAATGAATTATCGAGTATGAAATTGAGTTGTCGTGGTTGATGTGAATGAATATTATTGAATCGATGTAAATGAAATGTATGACTGTTGATGTTTGTTTAGTCTACCCTTGCATACTTTTACACCATTATATATTTTGAGCGTATTATCACCCCTTTGTTGTTTGTGGTGTTCTATATTTTCTCTTGGAGTACAGATAAGCAGGTAAATGAGTAGTTACGATAGAGCTGAAGGGTGACATTGAGGCTATTCTTATTTTCTCATTTTTATGTGATATTTAGATTCCATTGCTCAGATTTGTAACACTAGGGCGGTCTAACTTATGTTTTATTGTCTTGATATTTATTTGAGTTGTTGTTGTGAGAGCTAAATGTTATAACTCTGAATGTTATGTGTTGATTTGATTGATGAAGGCATTTTTCCATAACCAAGTTTTATGTTTCAAAAGAAAAGTTATTATGAGACTTAATCTAGTTGTCGAGTTGTTTGTTTAATTCCACTATGATGAGCCTATGTAAAGGCGAGCATGTGATGACATATGTTTATATTATATTATATTTTATTAAATTCGTGTTGCATAGCAAGTTTATGTTGCATTTGCGTGATACCCTATGTGCATAGTTGTTTAAATTTGTATTATTACACATTGGGATTTTAGAGTGTTACAACTGTGGGCTCTCCTTTGCTCCTTACATGATGTTGCTTAAGAGAGCTATAATGACTGGTTGCCTTTTTCGAGCAGTAATGTGAGTGGTGAGCCAATCGCGAAAGTCTGCCCATGATTAAATGCACCCATATGGGAGACCATTGAACCATAATCTAGCTAGTCCGACCAGTGTTAATGCAAGCAACTTACATTTGGAAGCTTTGTATGTATTGTAGTAGTTAAGTCTGTCATTTACGAGTTGTATGTGTTCGTCGATGCCTTCTTTTCCATCGCATTCCCCCAGTTTGGGAGGTTTTTGCATTTACTTGGAGATCTTGCTTTCTAAGATCCATGCACATAAGGTATGCTTAGGCTACACTCTAGTAAGTTGATGTTCGCCGCAATTTGGGAGAAGAGTGTGATTACCTTGGTCTCCACCCGGGCTTCGGAGAGGGGAATTACATTTTTCGCCTCTTGAACGGTCTTTCGACTTTTAGACTTATCTTCCATTAGCAGCAGTCAGTTTTTGACTGATGGATAGTTTCTTCTAGACGCGGCCTCTTGAATCGTGTTCACTTGGGGTTGAGCATGAAAAAGGCTTTATTCCAAGCGAAGGAACCTTTCCTCTACCTCCTTGAATTTGTGTTGGTGAACGATGTTGTAGATACCCTTTAGAAACTCATTCTCCCCTTTAACACATATGTTTGCTTCAAGAATGCATAAATCGCGTAACCTCTCAGGTTGCTCAACAAGAAAATGATTTGGAACTCTAAATCACGGTGCTTGGACATTCCTTGTTTTTGGAGGAGGAATGATAGAGGATGTGGAGTAACATCAATATCTATATTTGTTTCACCGGGAGGAGGATGAGTCATGTTTCATTGACTGGTGTCACGCTGCGAAAAAACAGAGTCGCCACCAAACTTTATTTATCACGAAGGAAGGGAAAATATCGAGAAAACCCCAAAAGGAAGGATGAGATAGTCTTGCGACCAAGAGAAAGGGTACGAAAGTCGATTACGCAAGGGGATGATATTAGCACCCCTCACGTTCGTGGTGCTCCACGGGATCCACTCTTGTTGTTCTAATCAAATGGTGTGTTATATCTAATGTTTACTTGCTAAGAGAATGTATGAATGCAAAAGAAAAATGCAGGAAAAAAAAGGTTTTAAATAGTTGTACTCGCTTAGGCCTTGCAACCCAATGCCTACGTATCCCTTTTAAGGAATCCGAGCGTCGTAGTTCGACTTAAAATTTTTGGTTTGTTGTGTGTTTTTTATAAACGATGTTAAGTTCGCATCCTATTGCAGCTCAACCTTTGGAGACTCACGCATTGCATAGAACAGAATTAACATGTTCTTTCATAAAATGTTGAATAGAAAAGCCAGAAGGCAAAAGAGATTTGGATTTGTTGTATGTTTTGTTAGGAGAATACCTCAGATGTTCCTCCAAGGCTGGAGGTATCTGAGTACTTCCCCTTTATTTGTGAAAGTGTTTGAGATATGCACAATACTAAAGTCTATAACATGAGAGACTTTTGAATGATTGAGTCAGACGCCTCGTATCTAAAGTATTTCACACGTGCTTAAGGCTTGTGTCATATTTGTACGCATCATATTTTTTAAGTGTTTTTGAATTTGCTTAGGAAAATTATTTTAGTTTTATTATGCAATGCAAAAGAAAGAGAAAATGACTAAGGGAAGCTAATCCTAATGTTGTCATACATCATGGTCCTAAATTTGGGATCAAGGAAATTTCTACTTAATTGTTGTCATGCTTGATTTTAACGCCTAATATCTAATTCTAATTCAATTTAATCAAAGATTAAAATTGAATTAAAATAAACTTAAGAGATCATGTTAAGAACACAAGCACAATGACAACATCACAAATATTGCACACAATCCATACTAAAATAATACTATAAGTTACAAGCAAGCACATGTCATAAAAATGAACAAAATTAGTGATTAAAATTGACAACAAAAAAAAAAGAGTTAGAAAAGAGAAAAAAATATCCTAATTAATTCCTAAAAAATATCTCCTAAATATAATATTTTTTAATGTTTTTATTTATATACTTTTATTATCAAAATTATTAAAAAAGTCAAAAGAAAGCTTAAAGAAATCTAAAAAAACAAGATCAGGGGGATGTAAAACCAAAACTGAAAGTATGGACCAGACAAACCAAAACTGAAGGTATGGACCAGCAGAAGGTCTGGACATAGCAACCAGAGGCCCAAAGGGAACATTTTTGTCCCAATACTAACTCAGCCTAAGAGTTGTGGTGTAATAGGCTCAATTGGGTGTATACGCATAGCAGCTGATGCCAGGCCCAATGCATGTTAACCCAATTCCAAACTCAAATCAGATTTTCTGTATTATTATTGATATATCAGATTTTTTATTTAATAATAAATAAATAAAAAAGGAAAATGCGGAAACGGTGCGTTTTGTGTATAGTGTAGAGTCACAAGTTTGTGACCTCTCAACTTCTCGTGAACAAAATCAACCTTCCTCTCTCTTCGTTCTCTCTTAAGGCGATCTCCGATGAATACTCGCCGACGTGAACCGGCACTAACGCATGCCTAATCGTTTCGTTTCAGAAGAAATTCAACACTAACCCAACCTAAGTTAACACTCGGAGCTCGAATCCGTCCATGTATTTCACAGAAACTCAACCAAGCGACGAGATCGAGAGGTTAGAAAAGAAGCCCTAGGTTCACTGAATCTGCAATTAAATTCCAATGGTGGAGAATTGGACCAAGAGACCTTAGGGGGAATGTTATTGAGGTCTCAAGCTTCGTCGTGATATGAAACAAGAAAGAAAACGATGACGAATGATCAGAGATTAAGGCTTACCTACCAGAGCAGCTCCGGTGACTTTTCAACGGCGCCGATAGCACAAGAAAACCAGAGGATAATCTTTAGGTAAACACTCGTTTTCACCTTTTAAGCTTCTTCTTCGCTTTTTCTTCGGAAAACTCGTCTTTTCTTCTTTTGAATTTCTGAGTTGTTGTGTGTCGATGAATAAACCGAAAGATTAAGTAGACGAATACAGGGAGAGAATGAGAGATTGAAGAGGTTTAGCTCGCACCAGTTTACATGAATGAACCTGATAGCTTTTTCTGTTGTGAATTGTGTTTAGAACATGTTAGGATATGCACTTGGTTTATGGAAGTGAATTGCTTATTGGCTGCCCTTGTACTGTTATGGATCTGAACTTGTCACTTTGATCTTTCGAATATGCATGACTTATTCTTCTGCATTTCCTGTTTGGCATCTATTTTGGTTTATGAACGTGCTACCCTTTTTTGCACGAATATCGGAAATGCCCTTGCTCTGCATTCATAGTTGTCTTGCTAAAATATTTGTTTGATTTTGTATGAGACTCGTGTGTTGCATTGCAGCGTCATAGGTTTATCCTTGAATCAAGTTCTGGATCATTGTGACAAGTATGCATGACCTGTTCTATTGATGTTTGTTTTTGGACCAAGTTTTCTCTTTCTCCAATATCATGCATAACAGGCCAGACTGAGAGAAAAACTGAAGCAAATCCTTAGCTTCAAGAAAAGCTTCTTGAAGTGAACGAGAGTTTCGTAAGAAATCGAAACGATGTTGTTAGAGGTGCTGAAAGAGGGGCATGAGAAAGGTGATCTTGCGGCTGAGAAGGATTGAGTGGAGAATCGAGAGATTGTGGTGGAAGTGTCGATGAGGTTTGTTTTCTGTCTTGGCGTATTGTTTTTCTTATGTTTGAACATGATTTTGAACTTGACATGGCTGTATTGTATGTTGAATTATTGATCATGATGATGATGTTATTATTCTGAATTGTGCATTTGATGAATGCAGGTGTGGTACTGGTTTTAGCAGGTTGATTGACATGGTTTTGGAGTCTTTGTACATGGTTTATGGCATGGTGCACATGAAGGTGGATGGAGGTGTATGGTTCAGTTTCAACTTGGGTTTTGTATTTGAAGGATGGCATGAAGATTGATGAAGACTTAGTTTTAGGTTTAGACCAGAGTCCGATTAGAATCTTAGTCCGGCTTGTGGAATGTCTTGTATTACAAGTAATGATAGAGCCATTTCATGTGATAAGTAAGACCTAAGTGTTGAGAATAAGAAGCTCCTGATGATGGCATAGCCAAAACCTTGAGGATTCATCTGATAACCGTAAGCACAAGGAACAAACCCTAATCAATGTGAAATTACTTATCATGACCATTGATCCAAACGCCAAGCTTTATTGTTAGTGAGTGCATGCAATGTTAGATGACCTAATAGGAGGGTATGTTCATGACGATTATGAAATGCATAAGCCAAATGATTTGGATAAAGAATAGGACAAATTTGGAATATGATAATTGGTAATTGTTTGTGTTGCGCCAGCAGCAACTAGAGCAGCTTCACGTGTGGTGGCAGAACGAGCAACTCTAAATTCGTCCATTTTCACGGATCAAAGAGATCAAAGATACATAAATATAAAGATCCAAAGAATCAGTGAATTGTAATCAGTGTAGAGTTTAAATTGATTGAACTTAGCTAAATTTTGTGCTAGATTTGCTAGATGTTCGTTCAGAGGTTGAAGAGAACTTCTCACTAGAAAACTGAATGCGGAGGTAGACCCACAGACGGTGTCATTATTTCGTTCTGGAACCAAAAATAAAGAGATGTGAAAGTTGTGGCGAAGTTGAACTTTTGATGCGGCAGAGTGAATGGTGAACCTACAAGATTATCACTCTAACGCTCAAGTCAGTATATGAAATTGTATAGAGTACCCAAATTGTGTTTGAAACTCGTTACATGATTCATCACCATTTCCTATATATAGAGGAGAGAATTAACAATATTGTTATCTTTAGGCGTGGAATGCGGAGGGTTGTTGAATGTACCTAAAACGTAAATTTCCTGTAGCAAGGTATAAGATAGTCTTATGGTAAGAAGATTCTAGCAAGGTATAAGATAGTCTTATGGTAAGAAGATTCTAGAAACATAACAGTGTATTCAGTCAAGAGGCTCGGTGATTGGTACAAAAAGAATATATACGAACCAAAACACTTTTTTTTTTTTATAATATATATTTTATGAATATTGAAAATTGTTAGAGATAGGTATAAGAAAAAATTTTATACAAATATTTTAATTTGGTTAATATTTTTATTTTCACAGTATATATTTGTTTGTTAAGATTTTTTTAAATATATTTTTCCTAGCATTAGATATATTTGCTAAAGGAAAAATAAACTTAAAATTATTTTTAATAAAAAATAGTTAAAATGGATTTCATTAAAATTTGGTTTAAATACTTTATCTTTTTTGTTATGTATTTTTTGAAAATATTTAATTTAAAGAAAAAGTTAGTTATTTTAAATAGATTTTATAAAATCATTATTGAGATCGGTAGTATTCTCGTTTTTTTTAATATAAGCTAAGCATTTTCTTGTTTAATGAAGATGCACTAATAGGATAAACAAGATTTAAAATTAATTTACATTAACAATACATACTAATTAAAATATATACAAATTAATATGTAATTAATAAGAGTGGATGGAATAGTTCACTTGGGTTAAGGAGCTGTGATCTATGGTTCAAGTGCTGACACATTAATAATTAGATTCTTCCCATGTCTCGTTAGATCTTGTTGCTCACCCACATAATACTGCTATTACTATTCAAATATTAGTTCAACTAGAGTATAAAACACTATTTAGAGCATCCTCCTCCCATGAACAAAACGATAGTTATTTAGTTGAATAATCATCATATAGTGTCTTTTTCCTCCTCCCATGAACAAAACGATAGTTATTTAGTTGAATAATCATCATATAGTGTCTTTATCCGTAGTTGTTGGTTTTCTTAAGGGTGAGATCCCCTCATTAAATAAATTATCAAAATTAAGCTTGATTATAAATATTTTAAACAGATGTCGTATTTAATACCAATAACAAAAAAAATAGTTTAACTATTAAAATTTAAAACTAGAAGCATGGTAGAGGCTTTCTTCCAAACGTAGGAATCTTTCCTCAATCGTCTTAGATTTATGTTAGTGAACGATGTTGTAGATACTATTGAACAACCCATTTGTCCTTTGAATGCCTATGTTTGTTTCAAGAATGTTGAAACCGTGCAACCTCTTAGGTTGCTCAACAAGAGGAGTTCGAACTCCAAATCACGTTGCTTGTACATTCCTTGTTTTCAGAGTAGGAATGAGTCTGGATGTGGAGTAACATCAATGCCGAGATTCGTTCCGCCAGGAGCAGGATGGTTTTCATTGATTGACAGTTATTCGTGTTGCACTAGCAACATTTAGAGCGGCTTCGCGTGCGGTGGCAAAACAAGTAGTTTTAAATCCATCCATTTTCAAGGATCAAAGAGATCAAATATACGAAAATATGAAGATCTAAAGAATCAGGGAATTGTAATCAGCGTAAATTTTAAATTTTGATCGAACACAATTAAGTTTTGTGCTAGATTTGCTAGATCTTCATTAAGAGGTTGAAGAGAACTTCTCACCAGAAAACTCAATGCAGAGATAGTGAGTTGTAGAAAATGCATGAATCAAAAGTCGATTTTCACAGACGGCGCCATTATTCTATTCTGGAAAGAGAAATAGAGAGAGATGTGAAAGTTGTGGTGAAGTATAGCTTCTGATGCGTCGAGTGAGGGGTGTACCTGCAAGATTAGCACTATGACGCTCAAGTTAGTATATGAAAAAGTAGGGATATTCAAATTATTTTTGAAATTTGTTACCTAATTCGGCACCATTCCCTATATATAGGGGAGAGAAATAATGACATTGGTATCTTTGAGGTGTGAAATAAATAGGTTCGTTGGATGTTCTTAAGGCGTAAATTTCCTACAACAAGGTATAATATAGTCCTATGATAATGAGAAAACTCTAAAAACATAATTGTGTAGTCATTCAAAAAGCTCAGTGATCGGTCCAAGAAGAATATGGCAGGTCCATAACACTTTTTATTTTAATTTTTATACCATATATATATATATATATATATATATATATATATATATATATATATATATATATATATATATATATATATATATATATATATATATATATTGTTCTGGACTATTTCAATGACTATGATTGGCCCAACCCACGTCTACCTCTAATGTGGCTCCATAATTATGGCCCACCAGCTCTGGTCCTCCTTCGGGCACGCCTGATCGATTCTTCCCCAAGCACAGCAATGCCCCGAGCCTTACGCCTGCACGCATCGACAACTTCCTCCCTGATCTGCTCGACACAGGTGAAGCAGACAATAAGGAAACATCCATAATGCATCTTCTCGTAATTCCACTCGTGCTCGAAGCAACAACTAGTTACGGGAACGACTGTCCATTTTGACTAAGTCTTGGAAGTTACCTATTTTTGTAGACCCGAATATCACGGTACAAAAATAGGGACCAATGGCCAAGCGTCAGAGGCACTATATAAACCCTCACACTTGTGAGGACCAGGTATCCAATCTAAAAACCTTAATCTCTTACTTGTATCTCTTTGTACTATTTCTCACTAGATCGTCGGAGTGTCTTGCAGGTACACCTCCATCCTTTCCTCTTATTTCAAGCCAAGCAGACGTCATCATCTCGGCCCACTTTCAGGTTCTGATCAACTGGTAAGATCAGTGACGCCGTCTGTGAGAATCTATCTCCCCCGTCATCCTTTTCCTCAAAATCGAAGACCAAAGATACTTTCACTACTTTTATCATGGCCGACCATGATGGCCACCACCTTTCTAGAAAGACTATAATCTCTCCCGTCCACAAGACAGACGGGGGCCAAGAGCATCCTCGTCTAGAATATATCCCCGATGTTAGGGATGATCAAACAACGTCCCCGGATTTAGTTGATGTTGAACGCGACAAGCTCCATTTCTTGGACGGTCATAGGTCCAAGAACCCCAAGGAGGAACGACCAGAAATCCTCCAGCCAGTTCCTATTTCACCAAATGTCGACCCAGCCATGGCAGCGCTGCTCGCTGCCCTCAATCAAACCAATGCCCTAATCCCGTAATAGAGCAAGAGGATTGGGGCTTGGGAGAAGAAGAAATCAAAGCCTCCTCCTCAGAGACATCGGCGTTACGACTCCTGCAGTCCATCTCCATCAAGGCGCGACGGTCTTCCCGTTCGAGAGAGGCAAGAGGTACCTTTTCTCAAGAAACGAGGTCGTACATCTCCCCGGAGAGATCAACACTCCTTGATCTCCAAAAAATGAAGAACGACCAGAGGCTTCATTGTGACCGTTCTCCGTCACCCAGGCCTAAACACCATCCAATGAGAACTTCTCTGTAACGGGACGACAACCCCGACGAGAAAAGAATAACTACTCCCCGTCAGCGTCTCCTGATCACAACGAAGACGATGAGCCCCGCGGCCCGTTATCCAGAGAGATCATGGATATACCACTTCCTGTCGGACTTGAGAAACCCACACACTTAGGGACGTACGATGGCACAATATATCCAGACGAACACATTGAAAACATCGACGCGCTGCTCAACTAAAAAGGTTTTCGAGGAGCAATCAAATGTTGAATCTTCCCAATGACACTCAGGAAAGGGATCATGGCCTGGTACAAAAGCATGTCTGACGAATGCATTACCTCTTAGAAGGGCTTGGGGAGATAATTCTCAAGACATTTCACGACATCTCGCCGACATCCCAAGTTAGAAGTTATGCTCGAGGCCATCATCCAGGGGAAGGATGAGTCCCTCCGAGCATACATTGAAAGGTTCAACCATGAAGCTGTCCAAGTCTCCACGATGAATGGAATGAAAAAATATCTCCTCGAGCGAGGCCTGCGCCCTCGCAATGACTTCGCTAAGGTGATTGGCATAGAGACTCATACAATGCTGGACTCCCTTCTGCTGAAAGCATAGGCGTATATCCAGTACCAGGAAAAAGAGGTTGCCAACAATGCGAGAGACTCGCGACACCGTCAAAATGCAAAAGTTT